TGGATCTTCCATAGTTCAATAAAATTATTCTAAACAAACATGAATCTTGCACTTTGTGGCAAAATGCCAGCATTAACATCTGGTCCACGCTCATGATTTAAGAGCCTTGTCATATCATCACTAATTGACGTTTCCCCTTGACCATCACCTCACATTCCCCCTAGCAACGAACTTTTCAGTTCAGAAGCATCCTTCTTCTGACTAGTAAATGAATGTTCAAATATTTCATAAAAGAAGCTGGCTTGCTGCACAGGATTTTGAAGTTTTTGCTTGTTATGAGAGAGAATTTACTAACACACCATCTATGGGGATGCACGTTCGTTTAGTCAAAGTAATTGACTTGAAGGGGAAAGGAGTCCAGGAGAGCTGGCTGTATTTCAAGGAATCCCTGTTGAGGTTACAGGGACAAACCATCCCGATGAGTCGAAAGAATAGTAAATATGGCAGGCGACCAGCTTGGCTTAATGGTGAAATCTTAGCGGATCTTAAACATAAAAAAGAAGCTTACAAGAAGTGGAAGGTTGGACATATGACCAGGGAAGAGTATAAAAATATTGCTCGGGCATGTAGGAATGTTATCAGGAGGGCCAAATCGCATCTGGAGCTGCAGCTAGCCAGAGATGTCAAGAGTAACAAGAAGGGTTTCTTCAGGTATGTTGGCAACAAGAAGAAAGCCAAGGAATGTGTGGGCCCCTTACTGAATGAGGGAGGCAAACTAGTGACAGAGGTTGTGGAAAAAGCTAATGTACTCAATGCTTTTTTTGCCTCTGTTTTCACTAACAAGGTCAGCTCCCAGACTGCTACGCTGGGCATCACAAAATGGGGAAGAGATGGCCAGCCCTCTGTGGAGATAGAGGTGGTTAGGGACTATTTAGAAAAGCTGGACGTGCACAAGTCCATGGGGCCGGACGAGTTGCATCCGAGAGTGCTGAAGGAACTGGCGGCTGTGATTGCAGAGCCATTGGCCATTATCTTTGAAAACTCATGGCGAACCGGGGAAGTCCCAGATGACTGGAAAAAGGCTAATGTAGTGCCAATCTTTAAAAAAGGGAAGAAGGAGGATCCTGGGAACTACAGGCCAGTCAGCCTCACTTCAGTCCCTGGAAAAATCATGGAGCAGGTCCTCAAAGAATCAATCCTGAAGCACTTGCATGAGAGGAAAGTGATCAGGAACAGCCAGCATGGATTCACCAAGGGAAGGTCATGCCTGACTAATCTAATCGCCTTTTATGATGAGATTACTGGTTCTGTGGATGAAGAGAAAGCAGTGGATGTATTGTTTCTTGACTTTAGCAAAGCTTTTGACACGGTCTCCCACAGTATTCTTGTCAGCAAGTTAAGGAAGTATGGGCTGGATGAATGCACTACAAGGTGGGTAGAAAGCTGGCTAGATTGTCGGGCTCAACGGGTAGTGATCAATGGCTCCATATCTAGTTGGCAGCCGGTATCAAGTGGAGTACCCCAAGGGTCGGTCCTGGGGCCGGTTTTGTTCAATATCTTCATAAATGATCTGGAGGATGGTGTGGATTGCACTCTCAGCAAATTTGCGGATGATACTAAACTGGGAGGAGTGGTAGATACGCTGGAGGGGAGGGATAGGATACAGAAAGACCTAGACAAATTGGAGGATTGGGCCAAAAGAAATCTGATGAGGTTCAATAAGGATAAGTGCAGGGTCCTGCACTTAGGACGGAAGAACCCAATGCACAGCTACAGACTAGGGACCGAATGGCTAGGCAGCAGTTCTGCGGAAAAGGACCTAGGGGTAACAGTGGACGAGAAGCTGGATATGAGTCAGCAGTGTGCCCTTGTTGCCAAGAAGGCCAATGGCATTTTGGGATGTATAAGTAGGGGCATAGCGAGCAGATCGAGGGACGTGATCGTTCCCCTCTATTCGACATTGGTGAGGCCTCATCTGGAGTACTGTGTCCAGTTTTGGGCCCCACACTTCAAGAAGGATGTGGATAAATTGGAGAGAGTCCAGCGAAGGGCAACAAAAATGATTAGGGGACTGGAACACATGAGTTATGAGGAGAGGCTGAGGGAGCTGGGATTGTTTAGCCTGCAGAAGAGAAGAATGAGGGGGGGATTTGATAGCTGCTTTCAACTACCTGAAAGGGGGTTCCAAAGAGGATGGCTCTAGACTGGTCTCAATTGTAACAGATGACAGAACGAGGAGTAATGGTCTCAAGTTGCAGTGGGGGAGGTTTAGATTGGATATTAGGAAAAACTTTTTCACTAAGAGGGTGGTGAAACACTGGAATGCGTTACCTAGGGAGGTGGTAGAATCTCCTTCCTTAGAGGTTTTTAAGGTCAGGCTTGACAAAGCCCTGGCTGGGATGATTTAACTGGGAATTGGTCCTGCTTTGAGCAGGGGGTTGGACTAGATGACCTTCTGGGTCCCTTCCAACCCTGATATTCTATGATTCTATGATTCTATAATTCAGCGGGCTGCCCAAAACTACTGCTTTTTCAAAAAAGGGGACTACAAAGCAAACAGATTTCCAGGTGTAACAGTAATTCTCTAGATTGCATTCACAGCATTTCACTGGAGTTTGGTAGCCTTTTGCATTTGAACTTTTCAACACTTTATGATGCGGCAGTCCACAGCCTAGTTTGGAATGTCTGTGGGTAAACGTATACACCACTGTTATCAATATGCTGGAAGATATTTGTGTGTACATATACACACAAAGTACATCCTCTGTACACACTAGTGATACATGTATACATAGCGTATCTGTTTGCTAGAACAGACAGCCTTCAGGCATTTCTGTCTCCATGCCATAACTTCCTAACAGGATTTCATGACACACTGGTTATGTGCCCGAGCCCTGTCTATACTAGCAGTTACACACTGCTAGACAAAGTTATCAGAGGGTGTGCCTGCACTAGATAATGCACACACTGCGGCTAACAGGCATGTTGTGTGGAGGCTGTCCCAGCATCTCAGGTGTGCCTAAACATTTAGGGATTCAGTCCTGACAGGGATAATCTCTTTTCTGTATCTGTACAGCACCATGCACAAGGGTCCCAACTGGGACACTTGGTGCTACCATGATATAAACATTTACCTCTACTACCTGGCCTCATAACACCAAGCTAGGCTACAGATCTCAGAGAAGGAAGGGGCTTTAGAAACATTGCAATACCACAGATAAAAAAGAACTTTAGCCAAATGCTGCTAACACCGCTTATGGTAAATAATTATATGACATATACATAGGTTTACCTGGAGGAAAGAAAATTAAGGGGATTAAAGCAGAGAACATCTTCCAAAAGCAAAAGCATCACTCCATTCATGAATTGCTGTGCTTCTAATTAGAGTCAGACACTGAATTTGCATTTATTTTGATTGAAATAGAATATAAACTTAATAACAAGGAACTTAAAGTTAAACTGTTTTCCATTTAATTTGCAAAGTAGCCTTAGAGCATACATGGTATGTATTTTGCTTCTCATTTTAAGATCTCAGCCTCACCAGACCAATTTTCAATTAAAAAACCCAACAACAGATTTTCAATTTGTGTGTGGGAGGGGAAAGGGAAGTGTAACGTCACCTATCGAGAATGGCTGTTTGGGCATAGAGCTGGGTGAAGTACAATCAAGTTTTGGTCTATGCTGATCCTTTGTCCCCTGATGTCCAAAAGCAGGGAAGGGTTTTTACTTTTTCAAAACATTGTTATGCCCTGCTGATGGCAACCTCTTTAAGAAGCCTATAAGAGCAAAGGCTGCCACACCAACCACCAAATCAGACATCAAGGAGACCCTCTTGCTAAATATAAGGCAGGGCAGCTGACAATTATGCAAAGCCACCTGGGATAAGATATTGAATTGGAGAAATCAATGAAAAAATGTGTCCCTGACAGAGCTGAGTCTGGGAGAAACATCTGGAAGCAGTCACTCATCCTCAAAATAATATATATATTTAAAAGCAGCAAAATGAAAATCAAGAGCTGCTGCTTTGCTGGGCATTTCATGCACGCCAAACCTGTGACAGAGGAAACGACCACAGCCGGGGTGCCATTTGAACTTCCTTCTGCCATGCCGATTCCCATGGCTCATATGGCTGAGACCTGAAGATGGCACCTTAGAGTGGGGCAGTTGCTGTCATGCTTCCTTTTGCTTCTGATTGGTCCTTCCCCTGCTGAACATTCCCCATCCCCCCCTGCTCATCCACCCACACGCACACCTGAAGCCAGGGAAGAAAACAAAGCACTTGAGAAACCACATCCAAATTGCATTTTGAGTTGAGGACCCTCATCTCCTCCTTGCCAGATGCAATCCTAAGGATGACTATAGTAATTTTGTTCATCTACATCATCTTCCCAGTTGGGATTTTCAAAGCACTTTATAAGCAAATTAGCACTAATAAACTTCATGATTCCTGTCAGTTACGGCTACCACGTCTCACCCTCACCAATGGATAACATCAGCATGCGGAGAAGTTAAGTGACTCACCAAACGTCACTCGGGACATCTATGGCAGTCAGCATTAGACTCCACAATGCTCAACTCCCACTCCTTTGCTTTGCCCACCTTTATTCTCTCTCTTTCCTCTGTCCCTAGGTCAGGGGTCACAAGGATCTCACACCTCATCCTTCTAGGAAGCTCCAACCAAGCCATTAATCTTTGGATGAGCTAGGATGCCTTTCAGACGGGCAACACTAGTTCCCAAATGGGATGGGAAAGAATGCAAGACTCTCCCTTCTACCAAGTGAAGCCCAGCACCCATGTGGTACTCCCAGACTGAAAGGAGAAGTTGAATGTGGGACCAAAGTGAATTCAAGTGAGATGTTTGTAAATAAAATATTTCCATTCGGCATCACTATGCACACAGCAAGTCTTCAGGCAGATAAGAGTGGAAACAGATAAAACGGTATACCTTCTAATTCAACTTTAAACTTACACTGGGGTAGTGTTACTAGCAGCTCTGTATTATTGTCATGCATGAAAATGTGTTCTATCTTCTTGACCCCTCACAAAGTAACAACTTAACACTCAGCACGATGGTTTATTCCCCCTCTCCATATGTACAATTAAGTGTAAGCCTGGTTATTAAAAATAAAGCTCCTGTGTCGCGGCTTTGAAACACACTACAATCAATTAAATTCCCCCCTCATTACAACATTCAGAATGCTTGGTTTCCCCACATGATATGAACTGGGGACAAACAACAGGCCACGTGGCAGATTGGATATGACAGCAGAGCTCTGGTAACAGGATCTGGAGCCTTTCACCTCTATTTGAATGATTCAAATCCAGCCCCACTCAGCAGTGCAGGAAGTTGTTAGCTGATGGCAGTCTGGTGGCCTATGAGAAATAGTTTGGTGGAGTCAGTCCAGTTCACAGTCAAGAGATGTCCACGTCACAGTTGGTACCCTTGTTTTGTTGGCAGGCTGCAGAGGCGCCAAGGATTTTGTGGGCACGGAGACAGAACGACCCCATCCTTACAAGCAGTCCCTCCAGGTCAAGGTTGAGGCATATTGGAAGGGGCAGGGGGAAGCTGCCACTTTCCTGTTGATATCTGGAGGACTTCAGTCTCCAGAACTGTCAACCTGGCAATTTTCATGAACACTGAATGCATCTAAAAAACCAACACACAACTAAACCACATACATCTTACGCTCTAAAAGCAAACTGCTTCGATGTCCCGGTAAGGCTCAGAGATTTTTTTTCCCCTGTGGGGATGAAAGAAAACCCCAGGTAAGGTAACCCAGAAGTGTGAGATTCCATAGTACAGCCCTTTTATGGTCCTGTTAGCTCCCTTCCCAAGTAAATCTGTTCCCATATGCAACAAGAGAGAATCTTCCAGCTTCACCTTGTGGCTCAATAATCTTTATTATTCCTTTTTGTTATTTGTTTTTATTTAAAAGAATTTGTTTCCCTATCATAAAAATTAGACAACCATACAAGCAGCAGCAAAGTCTGTGGAGTTAACCTTGATGGCAGACAGTTCACTGGTGTTCCCAGTGTTTCAAAAGGTCCTATAGGGTCCGTAAATGGAAAAAAAACAACAACAACAACAACAAAAAACAACCAAACATGACGACTGTGGAGAGGAATATCAAGGTGGTTCTGGTTTCTTGCCCCACTGAGGATCCCAAATGAAAGCTGTAGCATGTCGGCAGGACCAAGTACCTCACGCCTTGAGAGAAAACACTTCATACCAGCTCCAGTACCTGGTGAAAAAATGGGAGCAAACAAGCAATTAGAACAGAGATTTACTGTGTTCATTATCTCCTACATCACTCTGCCTCCCTTCCTTTTGTTCTCCAGCATAGAGTAGTGTCACTGAAGGGCCTTGGGTCCTGGCAAGCAACACTTGCATGCCTTTTGTTTTTTAAAATGGCATACATTATGTTCTGATATATCACGACATGATGCAAGACTGTCCAATCACCTCTCATCTTCTTTGCTCCAAATGAGCACTTTCAATCTAGTGACTTTCTGGTGCACTGATGGAGACAGCAGACCCTTCTGTTCAGACATGCATGAACTAACTCTTCCAAGCTCTGCCAGCACCATGATCTGGGGCCCTGGAAGGCAGAACTTCCCACAACAGCATACAGTTTGCACATTGTGCAAAGCTGTGTGGGTACTCATCAGCTTAGCAACCGATGGAGTCCCTATTAATTCTTCCTAAACCTGGTCCCATCCCACTGACCACCAATTAAAAAAGGCAACACCAGAATTCTGTCACTGTTTACACATTTCTCTTCATATCTTCATTAATTAACAAGCTAGGTGTATATGCAAAATCTCCTCTTTACAACCAACTTTTCCCTGCTGCTGGATTCACTTAAGGATGTCATACACCTCTGTGTGTGTCACCAATTTCACTAACAGGGAACTGATTGAAGTAATGAACAACAAATTGCAACCATACTAAATGAATCACCCAGGAGCAAAAGACAGCAGATGCAACATACTACTGCAGCAGGGGTTACCAGGGAGCTAATGCAGAATACTTTAACAGTTAAAAATGCCCTGCAAAGAAAAAAACCAACCACACATCACTGGGGCCTTTTGGGGTGGGGGCTTCTTTCTGATTAATAAGAATGAATTGAGAGGTGAAATTTTTCCTGTTCAATTCCCCTGTTTTTTGTTTTTAACATAAAAATATCAGGACTATTAAGTCCAGTCAGGTTTTGCCAGAGAACTAGAGTGGTCACTGAAGGTCATAGTGACTTGGTTGCACGGAAGAGGAAAAGAACCCAGGTCTCTCGAGGGGTGGAAACCTTTGGGTAGTTTGAAAATGGATTGTGAAACACTAATCAACAATTACAAGAAAAGGCTAGAGCTTGACTACAAAGCCATTTAGGCACCAAGCCTCTAGGGCTAAGGGGATTAAGTCCCAATGGAGGCTAATGTTGCTGATCACGCTCTGGGGCCAGTCTGTGTGGCATGAGCTATGATGTGTAGTTCTGACAATCAGAAAGTGGAAAGCGTGCAAATTCTGAGGTTCATGGAACCACCAGGTCGACAACAAGCAAAGAGTGTCAGCATCACCATTTGGTGATAAAGTACCAGGGACAGATTCATTTACAGACTGCCTGTGAAGAGAGAGGTCCTGAGGACTGGAGACCAAATCACAGCTATCAACCTAGCATCCTGTTTACTATCTTGCTGGAGACTGAACTCAAATTTTGACATTTTAAGAAATCTGACTTTAAATTTAAGTTTAAAAGGTAAGTTTGCAGTTCTAATTAGCCGTCACGCCACACACAGTCCCTATGGGAAAGGGAAGGAGATCTCTGAGCAAGTTCAAGGATTGTTGAACACTAGCCTCTTCATGCAAGAGGCAGTCAGTCGAGTTTTGCAAGCTGTTGTCTGTAGGCACAGATTTCTGTGCTAGGAATGAAAAAAGGTGAGTGGAGCATGTGCTCGTTTGGAATATCAGTTCTTATTGCTGAGAGTTTGGATTTCAGCATGATTCATTACGGCACCCTAACTCAGTGGTAGTAGCCAAAGGACTGCATTTGGCTAACACAGGGGTTCTCAAACTTCATTGCACCATGACCCACTTCTGACAACAAAGTTACTACATGACCCCAGGAATGGGGTGGAGCCCGCCGCCTCGGGTGGGGGATGAGGGGGTCGCAGCCTGAGCCCCGCGTGGGGGTGGAACTTAGGCTTCAGCTCTTGGTCCCAGCAAGTCTAATGCTGGCCCTGGCAACCCTATTAAAATGGCAACGCGACCCACAGCTTGAGAACCGCTGGGCTAACACCAAGGTGTTAAGATAAAGCCTCCTCAATTTGTGGCTCATAGCCACAGAGATTAGCATGCAAACATGAATGCATATGCACGTGCGTGCATGCGAGCGGCACAACATTAAATTGAAGTCTTGCACTTCAATAGTAAAGCCACAGTCACTTTTGGATTGATGACAAAACTCTAATGGCTTTTATGGCAAATGAAACAGAGCCTATGCGTTAGTACAGGAACACAACCCCTATGTGAAAAAAGAACAGCATTACACGGCTAATCTCAAGGGTAACATACTGCAAAATGTTTCAAGCTTTCCCGCTCCATGTCGGTGTCTCTCGTGTGCTGCAGAGAGCCCCTGAGCACTGGCAACAGCACAGTGGCTGCTGGACAGTTGCCACCACCTTTTCACACCTGCCTCCTAACTTGGCTTCTCTGCTTTCAGTTCATTTTATTCTCCTCTCCAGCTTGTGCCACAGGCAAATGCATCGCTGAAGCTACAAACACCCACAGATGGGATGACCTCTTTTAACGGCTTCTTCTGGCTGCAGAGTTATGACCTTGCCCCCTCAGAATGGATTCAAGCGTTTAAAAATGGAGATGCAGGAAATAACTTACCTTAATTGTACCCTGGCTGTTAGCAGCGATGAGCACATTGGATTCCTGAAAAAGAAGAGGAGCCATCAGAGTTTGCAATGAGGGTTCAGAGGGGGCATAGAGTAGGGAACTGATTTTAAACATTAAACACTTGTCTGATTTCAAAGGAATTTAACTCCTGCCATTTCTGTTGGGCTTTTGTGGCCAGAAATCTTATTTTGAAAGATTACATAAACTTGAAGAATTAGGAAGCAACAATCCTTAGTGCTTGCAAAGACATTTAAATCTTGAAAGTAAATTACAAACACAAATTAATCGTCACAATACGCCTCTGAAGAAGACAAGTAGTATAATCATCACTTATCTCTTGGCAATATGTATACAAAGGTCTCTGGTGCCTAAACGAAACCAAACTGAACTGAATAATTAACATGACTCCAAAACCCTCCAACTAAGACAACATGCCCAATTAAACAGCCAAGAAATCTGAAATAGAAAATAAAAAGAGGAATACAACAGCTTCTCACACACAAATCAGAAGGGTCAGAAAATACAGCAGTTCAAAAGGAAGAGAATCAGAGGACTTTGGCTCTGGCCTGAAGGATGCTGGACTTCAGAAGCAGACTTTGACTCCCTTAGGGAACTGATGGGCAGGATCCCCTGGGAAGTTAATATGAGGGGGCAAGGAGTCCAGGAGTGCTAGCTGTATTTTAAAAGAAGCTGTAGGAACAAACCATCCCAAAGTGCAGAAAGAATAGCAAATATGGCAGGTGACCAGCTTGGCTTAACAGTGAAATCTTCAATGAGTTTAAACTCAAAAAGAAAGCTTACAAGAAGTGGAAATTCAGACAGATGACTAGGGAGGAGTATAAAAATATTGCTAGAGCATGCAGGGGTGTAATCAGGAAGGCCAAGGCACAACTGGAGTTGCAGCTAGCAAGGGATGTGAAGGGTAACAAGAAGGGTTTCTACAAGTATGTTAGCAACAAGAAGATGGTCAGGGAAAGTGTGGTACCCTTACTGAATGGGGGAGGCAACATAGCGACAGATGATGTGGAAAAAGCTGAAGTACTCAATGCTTTTTTTTGCCTCAGTCTTCACAGACAAGGTCAGCTCCCAGACTGTTGCACTAGGAAACAGTATGGGGAGGAGGTAAGCAGCCCTCATTGGTGAAAGAACAGGTTAAGGACTATTTAGAAAAGCCGGATGTGCACAAGTCCATGGGTCCAGATCTAATGCATCCAAGGGTGCTGAGGGAGTTGGCTGACGTGTTTGCAGAGCCATCGGCCATTATCTCTGAAAATCTGTGGTGATCATGGGAGGTTCCGGACAATTGGAAAAAGGCAAATATAGTGCCCATCTTTAAAAAAGGGAAGAGAGAACACTCGGGGAACTACAGACTGGTCAGCCTCACTTCAGTCCCTGGCAAAATCATGGAGCAGGTCCTCAAGGAATCCATTTTGAAGCACTTGGAGGAGAGGAAGGTGATCATGAACAGTCAACATGGATTCACCAAGGGCAAGTCATGCCTACCCACCTGATTGCCTTCTATGATGAGATAACTGGCTCTGTGAATATGGGGAAAGCAGTGAACATGATATACCTTAACTTTAGCAAAGCTTTTGATATGGTCTCCAACAGTATTCTTGCCAGCAAATTAAAGAAGTATGGATTGGATGAATGGACTATAAGGTGGATAGAAAGGCGGCTAGATTGTCGGGCTCAACGAATAGTGATCAATGGCTCCATGTCTAGTTGGCAGCCGGCATCAAGCGGAGTGCCCCAGGGGTCGGTTCTGGGGTTGGTTTTGTCCAACATCTTTATCAGTTATCTGAATGATGGGATTAATTGCACCCTCAGCAAGTTCTCAGATGACACTAAGCTGGGGGGAAAGGTAGATAAGCTGGAGGGTAGGGATAGGGTCCAGAGTGACCTAGACAAAACTGGAGGAGCATTGGTCCAAAAGAAATCTGAGGAGGTTCAACAAGGACAAGTGCAGAATCTTGCACTTAGGAAGGAAGAATCCCATGCACCGCTAAAGGCTGGGGACTGTCTGTTAAGCAGCAGTTCTGCAGAAAAGGACCTGGGGATTACAGTGGATGAGAAGCTGGATGAGTCAGCAGTGTGCCCTCATTGCCAAGAAGGCCAATGGCATATTGGGCTGTATTAGTAGAGCACTGCCAGCAGATCGAGGAAGTGATTATTCCCCTCTATTCAGCACTGGTGAGGCCACACCTGGAGTACTGCGTCCAGTTTTGGTCCCACCCCCACTACAGAAGGGATGTGGACAAATTGGAGAGTCCAGCAGAAGGCAACAAAAATGATTAGGGGTCTGGGGCACATGACTTACGAGGAGAGGCTGAGGGAACTGGGGTTATTTAGTCTGCAGAAGAGAAGAGTGAGGGGGGATTTGATAGCAGCCTTCAACTACCTGAAAGGGGGATTCCAAAGAGGATGGAGCTCGGCTGTTCTCAGTGGTGACAGATGACAGAACAAGGAGCAATGGTCTCAAGTTGCAGTGGAGGAGGTTTAGGTTGAATATTAGGAAACTATTTCACTTGGAGGGTGGTGAAGCACTAGAATGGGTTACCTAGGGAGGTGGTGGAGTCTCCATCCTTAGATTTTTTTTTTAAGGCCCAGCTTGACAAAGCCTTGGCTGGGATGATTTAGTTGGTATTGGTCCTGCTTTGAGTAGGGGATTGGACTAGATGACTTCCTGAGGTCTCTTCCAATCCTAATATTCTATGATTCTATGCTAGAGATATTTGATGTAGGTACCTCTCTCAGGCATGTATAGAGAAGTGGTTCTCAACCTATTTACCGCTGTGGGCTGCATATGCAGCTCATTATGTGTTACGTGAACCGCATCCACATGCATACTACCTATGTGGCCCTGAGGATGTCACATGGGTCACAGCTGTGTGCTGATTGGGCTGTAAGTGGTCCACGGGCTGAGAACCATTGGTATAGAGAGTCAAACTAGGCACACCTCGGTTGTCTATTTATATGGCCTGCTTCACCAGTCTGGTAGATCCCCAGGAATATTAAGTTCCCAAATTGCAGGCTCTGGATGGGAGCGTGCCTGCTGTCTCCTACACACTCAAGTCCACCCACTTCAGATGCTTTGGTGGGAGACAAGGTACGGGAAAGATCCAAAAAGAAAGACAAAAAGGAGAGAGATTATCAATAAGTTAAAAGAAATAACTCCTGGAGGGAGGAAGAACCCTGAAAAAGAACTCAAAGAGGCAGAATCACACTTCTCAGAATGGTCTCCTACATTCCTTCTTTTCTAGCCATGCAATACCAGCAATTGTAGTGTTTACTGCTAAACTGCTTGGTCTAAAAGCAACAGCTATTAGAAGCAGCAAGATAAATGGAAAGATCGGTCTCAGAAAAGGTATTCATCCTCAAATGAATTGGGTTTAATTATCCTATCACTTCACAAATACATTTTTAATAATCTCAGTGAACAGAATATCCCCACTTCAAAGGAGCATTATACACTTGCATTCTGTGTGAGAGTTGGAGGAAAACAGCTTGCTTAAACCAGCTGAGTGTAAAACTGGTAGATGCTGGCACTTTGTAGCATCAGAGGTGAACACACTGTTAGCTCAGCACATAGCAAGACTAGGCTAAAAACTGCCTTATCATGAAGTTCTGACGTCTGCAGGACCACCAGCTTTGAAACAAAGGGAGAGAAAAACTGATCTATTATTCAACATAAAAAGCTAGTTATCTAACAATAGTTGCCTTTTGATAAACCACTGGACTACTGCGTTACAAATGGATTTGATCATCCCTGTATAGCGTCCATTACAGGATTAGCAAGAACTCTAGGTAGCATCTCACTTGTGACCCTCTAAGCCAAAGCACTTGTGTAGAAAATATGCCCTAAAAAGAACCAATGAAGTCCCCATTTCAATTCTTACACTGGATAAGAGGACAGTCTTGATATTGGCACTGTCTGAGAATGCCACAACTTCTCAATTTAAAGCATCAGAACATTATGCCAAAACACAAGGACACTTATGTCATTAAGGAAAATCTTTGATAAACATGTACAGAAACAAACAATGTTGGGACTAAAATGCCTGACAACTAGATCACACTGAGATATCTGAAAAGGAGTACTTGTGGCATCTTAGAGACTAACCAATTTATTTGAGCATAAGCTTTCGTGAGCTACAGCTCACTTCATCAGATGCATTCAGTGGATGAAGTGAGCTGTAGCTCACGAAAGCTTATGCTTAAATAAATTGGTTAGTCTCTAAGATGCCACAAGTCCTCCTTTTCTTTTTGCGAATACAGAGTAACATGGCTGCTACTCTGAAACCTGAGATATCTGACTAATTTTTGGAGACAAGGGAGGAGCATAAACATATCAAATGTCTAGTACAAAGAGCTGGAGCTGATAAGTGCAAGATTGTTGGTTGTGAATGATTCTTGTTTGCATTGTGAATGACTGGTAATTCTGCATCGCTGCTGCAGTCTGTCAGGGCACCACTGTAAATGAGCTCTGGCTCAATAGGCAGCTTTACCAGCTAAATACACTCTTTCCTGAGAATCTGCTGTTTTTCCAGCAGAACTCCTCTCTGGGTCTGAGATAATTACTGATCTGCTGCTTTCATCCCCAGCACACAAACAGGAGCAGACACAGGGGAAATTAGCACCATGTCTGTCACTGAACAAATGGCCACTTACTTGTCAAAGCACTCTAGCACTGTGGTTGCTTCTATGGGGGCACAATCTAAGTAACTTTTTTATCCCCTGGAGGAGCAATTCTCTTCCCCTTTGTATTGCCTATAAAACAGCCATTATGCTCAATGCATTAAAAACCTAAGCAGGCTGTGAAATAAAAATTATTCACATGGCATGTGATCTGTAGATTTACAACTGGTGACAGATGCACATGTGTGTAATCTATCTTTTTGCCTGTGTATACATAAACAGTTGTCCAGTTTGCGCCATCTCTAGGGTTGATTTTAATGCTTAACAGGAGCCATAAACTCAATTTTAAGGTTCTTTGAAAAATGCCCAGAACATATCATGGCCTTTATCAGCATATC